ATAATTGTACCCAGTTGGCTGATCCTGGATTCTAATATCTTGAACGATCTTATTCGTGTCCAGGTCGGTCGTGACTCTACGAACAACATGGTCCCATTGAGGGCCCTTTTGTGGACATTGGACGTAGTGTCTGACCTTTTTGTCAACGCGAGTACACACGCTGAGGTGTACCGCACTCCGCTCATTCCTGATCATGTTGGCTTTATCGAGTTGATCAAGGAAGCGTGCAATAATGATAGCCAAAGTTTTATACCGAAACTCGGCACGTTGCTGATCTTGGCCATACCAATCCAAATCATGCTCCTTGTGTGAGCCACAAGTACATTTCCATAAGTTTATCGGTATATGAGGACAAGATGTAGCAACTTGTATATAAGAACCACTGGGATATTTACTGGATCGGTCAAACTTGATACCGAAATGACAGAGTCTCATTCGTATAATGCTTAGCTTCAAATCTTCGATAACATCTTTGATCGGACCCTGTTTCCAGAAATACCCGGGTGGCCCCAGGATAACTATCTGCATTCTCAGAGCACGCGCTTTGATCAGGAGATTTTGTATACGTTGATAATGTGGTCCCGCCCTCTTTCCTGGAGTACGAACGTACCAATCAGAGGGTGTGGCCACCCACAACATATTGTAGTCTCCTGCCAACAAATTTCCCAAATACTGTGTTCCAGTTGAAGTCATTACCTCATTATGGGTAATCCGGTCGCATATATATCCACGGGTTCGGAGTTCAGCGCAAGCTGTGCGAATATCTTCGATGACAAGACATTTTGAATGATATTTTTCCTCTCGGGCCTCAGCGCGGCCAACGTATGTCGCGAGGAGGCCGGTATTCGGCTTCTCTTCGCAAGCGAGCGCCGCCGGCGCGCCCGCCTGCCCCCGTCAGCGGCGGTCGTGTGACCACGTTGCCGTCTGACTCGGGGGCATGCTGTTAGCGGATGGCTCCGCAGGAGTCGCTGGTGCGGCTACGCTCACGATCTCCACGCGGGTTGGCCCCGCAGAGTCCGACGAGCCTCCGCCCGTGTAGCTTGGTGGTGGTGGCGGTGTCGCGGGTGGCCCCGCTTGGTTCTCAGGCGTCCATTTATTCACCGCCTCCTGGACTGCCCAGAATATCTTAGACTTCAGGGCATCCTTCATATGTGGCCAGGTCCCCTCGGGACACTGTTGGCCCTCCCACCAGCTGTTCAGCGTCCTGTCCACGATCAAACGGGTCGTGTCTTCCAGGAGCTGCTTGTCGAGATACGGCTCGACAATGTACGTATCAGTCGTGACGGTCATGGACTGTCCCGTCGCGGGTTGCCCCGCTGTGGTCTCGGCGGGTGGCCCCGCACTTACTCCGGCGGGTGGCCCCGCACTTACTCCGGCGGGTGGCCCCGCACTGACGGGGTCCTCTTCGTTCTCCGTCTCGGTGTAGCCATCTCGACTGCTGCGGATTGTGAAGGTGTTCGTGACCGTCTGGCTTTTAGCCCCGTCATACAAACCGCAGGGAATCGCGAGATGTCCCGAGGGAGTTTTCTTCGCCCTCAGGACCTTGGCACCCCTTCCCAGCTTCAGGGTGTAGTCACCGCTGGGGAAGATAACCTTCTGGTAGCCTGGCTTCAGCACGATGATCGTGTCACGTGCTTCCATGGCTCCTAGGCCCCAGATGGCCGGGAGATTGGCACCCGAGCCTTCTGCGATGTTGGAGGCATACTCCTCGATACGGGGGCTTGCCTCATTGGCGTATTGCACCCCGATCTTGAAGTTGCCCATCTTCCGACATATCGCAGCACCCTCACCGACACCGTTGATGTAGAGGGTCTTGCTCAGGGTGCATATGGCAGGTCTGTGATTGTACCTGGCCATAATCTCCTGGAAGGTTCGCGCCGTATTGGCTCCAATGATGTTCACGTTGGAGCCAATGTCTAGCATGAACGAGATGCAGGGCATACCGTCTTCGTCAGGAAAGAATGTCCCATTTCGCGCTGCCAGAGCCATTGTACCATGGTCATCGGTGTGGTACGTAATCTGTGAACCGAGTGTGCCTTTCAACAGGCGTTGTTCAAGCACCCATTGACTCATGGTTAACTCGGTGCACCACATCTGCTCATATTGGCGGCGCTCCTCCACGGTAATTGGTTCCTGTTCGAGAACCCAATAATTCGCAGAGAGTGTGGACATCCATTCACCTCCTGGCGGCAGCGTGTCCGTGTCGTCACGTGCATAGGTCAGCCCCTCTGTATCGATCATGAATGTGGTGTGGAACTGGGCTGCCTCCGCGCTCTCAGCGCTTGCCCGGCTCCTAGCGCTGACCGGGCTTGCCACACGTGAGGTCCTGGATGATCCAGTTGGCCTTCGAGTCCCGCCTCCGCTCCTGCCACTCCGCCTGATGTTGGCCTCCATTGCCCTCAGGAAACCTGGATTTGGAGGTCCATTTGCGGGTGGCCCCGCTTTGGCGGCGGGAGCCGCTTCAGCGGGTGGCCCCGCAGCTGGGGGCTCCTGTGCTCGAAGCGTAGGCAGGATTGGCATCTGGATGCCTTGCTCTGGCGCTGGCCAGGGGTATGCCTGTGCAGCTGGGGCACGTGCGGATGGCTCCGCCGATTGTGCGGCTCGAGCCTCTAGTGCCTCCACTGCTTCCCGTAGCCGACGCATTTCCCGGGCATCTGCCACGTACCTCTCCTGCTGGCGCGCTTGTTCTGACTCAGCGTCGCGCTGTCCAGCATATGGGAAATGTGCTATAACTATGCCCGGCCCACGACATACAGCGCAGGGGGCCTCATTCGGCGCACCTGGCCGCTGATTGCGGACGTGCTGCTGTGCAACACGATCCCAGCATATATCGTGGAAGAAGTGCCCACACGCCAGTCTCCACACTATGGTGCCCATCTCGTAGGTGTCCATACAGATTGGGCACTGTGTGAAGTTGTAGTCTGAAATAACTGGAGCAGGCACGTCTGGGCGAGTCCGAGCTTGGCGCTCGAAAGTGGTTTCGCCCTCCCGATATGGCGTCGGTGGCGGCCGTCTATCTGTCCGTTCAGCGGGTGGCCCCGCGTCTGCGGGTGTCCCCGCTTGGTCTCACGCTCGATCCTTCTCTGGATCGCGCGTTGTTGGCGCAGCCTGGCGTTGTCCCGAGCCTGCTGCCTAGATGCCAGTATCGCTTGCTGCGTGTTGTGCACGTCGCGGATGTAGTCTGGCATGCTGCCCATAGCGGCTGGCACCGCGAGACCAGCTGGCTGAACTACGGTCTCGGGGTCCGTCGGCGTGGGCATGTAGGCGTAGTGCGGCATAGACTGCGCATCGACCGCTCGTGTAAACTGCAAACGAAACATCTCATTGGCAAGATTCCGAGTGTATTCGTTCGCAGGTGGCCCCGCAATCATAGGAGTGTTATTCATCTGCGCGTAGTACTCCGGGTACATCGGCGCGTCCATGGCCTGTGCCTCTGCTGGTCCATGATTGTCCCATCCATATATTGGGTGTGATGCTATTCCTGGAATAAACACCTGTCGATATGGATTCGTGGGATCAGCATTTGGAGCATCTTCAGAAGTCCAGCTCCAGAGAGGCCGAAAGTCGCCATGATTCGTAACATCTATGTTGCGGTTCCGCAACAGGCTGGGCACTCTATCAGCTTGTTGCTGCAGAAAGGTAGCCTGTGCTCTTAAGTTGGCTGCCCGACGTTCATAGTCTGACCCTTGCTGTCCGTCAGCGGGTGGCCCCGCGTGTGCGGGTGGCTCCGCAGGCGTTCGCTCGGCGGGTGTCCCCGCAGCCACTCCTCCTTCACTACCCCTCGGAGTGCCAAAGGGAGTGGTCGCCTGGAGTGCTGCTGCGAGCGCCGGATTCCCGCGAATCGCCTGGAGTCTTTGCCACAAGCTGTTCTCGCTCGTTTCAGACGGCGGAGTCCGAAACGGCGAGCCACCATCTGAACCGCCCATAGGGACAAACCTCGCACCTCCAGCTTGCTGCGGAGGGCGTTGTGGTTGTGGTCCTAGGACGCCTGGTGGCCCAGCAGGAGTGCGCAGGTTCCTCTGCTGTGCGTCTTGGATACCTGTATGCACTGCCCACGGGTCAGCACGATATAGCTGATCGGTCAGTCCAGAGACGTCGGCTGGTGTCAAATAGCTGTTGAGGGCCTGGACCCATGTCTGCTGGTCCGGCCTCCAAGGAGATGCTACCGTTGCTACTGGTGTGACCACTTGTTGCCATGAACCGTCCGAGGTGTCTACCGCGGGTGTCCCCGCACCTGCGGGTGGCCCCGCTTCAGGCATGACCTCGTCCTCCTGGGCATTCATCATGAGGACTGTCTGTGTGTCGTACGGTCGTGGAGCAACATCTTGCTCGGTCATGATCAAATTGAATGGGCGACCGTCCGTCTTAGTCCAGCCCTTTAGGTACATGGCGTGATCTTCCATTACACCCAGAGTTCTGTCACACATTTTAAGTGGCAGGTAGTCATCGGTGCGAATCCTGTCCGCGGGTTGGCCCCGCCTCCGCGACTTGTCATAAGCCAGCGGATTGCTCCAGGCTTCGCCGACCCGATATTTCGCAATGCTCACAATCTGGAGGATATGATCGGGCGGTATACGTCCGTCGTGGCCCCGTGTCATGACTATGTCATTTGCTGATCTCCATAGGGAGAAGCCACTGGACAGCATCTTGTTGATGCTGCAGAATATGAGCACCTCCGAGTCAGGACGGATGCCCGATTGAATCCTCGGGTCGCCCGGGAGGTAGGGGCAGCCGTGCACAAATTGGCGCCCCCCCTTCCTTTTAGGGTTGTCCTGTGCGAGGCATGAAAGGCCATTAGCAAGGATGTCCTTGACATACTCCCACTGTGTCCCGTGGATGAAATATACTGGGTCGTCTGGTTCTTTCATCCATGTTGTGATCGGCTTATAAAGCGACTCGGGACAGTGGATGCCTGGACTGCTGTGGCCGTTCGTGGCTCTGATGAAGTACTGTGGCCTGCGTGCCTTTGGTCGAAACCTGGGAGGCAGCAGCATGCTGTCCTCAACGCACTTCATCTGGAGCCTGCCCTTCTGCATGCCGTGATGGTCAATCATCTCACAGCAGTTTAGCAGCACCCAATACACGTATGACGTGTGGGGCCTGCCCTTGATCAGCACCTCGTGCATTTCACGATAGCCTTTCCACTGATCATTTTCAGTCCAGTTTGTCAGCAGATCGTCAACAACAACCCAGCCATCGTATGGATCGAAAGTGCTGATCTTTTCGAAGTGTCGGCTGAATCCGTCCTTCCAATATGGACTATGGCGTAGGGCTGTAGAGAACCATATTGACACCTTGGTCATTTGCCCTTCGCGCGGCAAAGTCGGATCCATGCCGAACCTCTCCATGACCTTCAGGAGCTCTGCTTTATGCTGCGCAACGCGTAGTGGCGGCCTGTCTCGCAACATATTTCCCACGGTTTGTTGTTCACGTTCCCAGTCGTTGCGGCACTCGAAGTTACGACGATCAGGGCAATTAATGACCTCGTATCGGTCCGTATCGTCTCGAGTGACTCGTGGGTTTATGGTGCGCTTCGGGCCTTTGCCTTCAATGCCTTGCCAGTATTCGATGGCTCCCAGAGGGATGTTCCTAAGAACAGACATTACTGGCTGCCCGCGTGCGGGTGGCCCCGCTAATGCAGCTGGCGGCGCTTTAACGGGTGGCCCAGCAGAGCCTGCGGCTGACGAGGCAGCTCCAGCGGATGACTCCGCGCCAGGGTTCGGGTGACCTTGGTCAGCAACTGCATCATCGGTTAGTTTCTGTCGGTCGCCAAATTCTTTGAGGACTCTGAAGCGTTCTTCTCTTGAGAGAGTGCCTTCTGCGGGTGTCCCCGCTGCTGCAGCTGGCGCCGCTTTAGCGGGTGGCCCCGCAGAGCCCTTGTCCTCCTTAGCCTTGGCGGCCGCTTCTGCCCGCACCGACCTCATCCCAGCTTCGGGCTTCGGCTGTGCTTTCATTCGTGCCGAACCTGGTCGTGGTGCAAGGCGCGGCTGATGCAGAGTTGGAGCCCAGTCACCTCGGAAGGCTGCCTTAGGCTGATTGCGAGCTTCATCCTTGACATCGCCTTGGGTCGCCGGTGGCATCGGGGTCGATGGTCCAGCAAAAGCCTTCCTCCTCTCCGTCACGGACAGACCGGGAGGATCTACCGGCTCAGGGTCGTCCGTCTTGGCGATCCCTCTGGCCTTCGCCCGCCCCTGTGTGCCTTCGGGGCTCTTGGACGGGTGCCTTTTCGCAGGAGTCGGTGAAGACGAGGAGTCGGCTTCAGGTCTTGGAGGTGGTCTGCTGCCCTTGCCCGGTTGTGGACCAGGAGGGTCTCTAGGAGGGCCTTCTGGCTGGCCATGATCATGGATGACCTGCCTCATCTGGTCGATGTCGGCAGTACCTTTTATGGCCAGCTTGTACTTGCCATTTTCATGGCGGTGAATTACCCTCGTGCAAAACCACTTCTGCGCCGAAGAGCTGTAGTACCAGCAGGCGCATCCATCAGGGAATGGATTCTCTGAGCCGTCTTCCGCCGCCCATTCTTCATTCAGTTCGGTGTGGTCAGTGCCGGCGGCGGACCCAGCAGCAGATGCAACAGCTATCCAATCGTCGTCCGCGGACCCAGCGGCTGGCGCCGCGTCTGCGGGTGACCCCGCTTCTTTGCTGGATCCTGCGGGTGACCCCGCCTCTTTACTGGATCCTGCGGGTGACCCCGCCTCTTTATGGAATCGGCGGTTCCATTCCTTGAGGCGATGGTCATTGGGAAGCTGTACCCAATTTTCCCTGACGATGTTGGCCACCTCTTCGGTCATAGGGACGCGATCGGCTTCGGTGATGCGCTTTCCTCCTCCAGGGACCTCCTTGTTAGGATCATGGACGTTGCCAGCGTCATCTCCATGAGACCAATTCCACGGGGTCTCACCGTGATGAGGACTCCTGGAGGGGCGGTCCATCGGACAACTGCGCATGTGACCTTTGAAGGGCTCGCACTGACATACTTGTTTCCTGTATGTCTTGCGATCGTTGATGATCTCCTGTTTCTTAGCCCTTTTGTCCCAAGCCTCTGGCGTTTTGGTCTTGCCACCCTTGGTACGTATTATCACGCCAGTTTCGTCCCTTTTGGTGCAGTACTCCTTAGAATACCAGTGGCGGATCACGTCCATCGAATAGCCGGGGTACCAGTTGATGTACCAATCCGGCACATGCTGAGCGGATACTCCAACGGAGTGCTCAGTACTGTATGGATAGCCCGATGCATCATGTGTAGGGCGTCTGGGAGCTGAACGGCTCCTCCTGCGGGCTGGCCCCGCTGACGCACTACCACGTTCCATTGGCCTTTGATCGTCATGCTCTGAGTCTCGGGGAGGCGACGGTCGTCTGTCCCTCTTGGCGTAGCGCATGTCCTCCGAGTCCTCTGAGCTGTCCTGGACCATGAACACGTGTTGATACGGGCTTCGGAAGTACCCGATGTCGTTTAACTGCTCCATCGTGAGGTCGTTAAGGTCTATTTGATCACAACCTTGCATAAATACATCCATAGACCAAGCGGGTGGCCCCGCTGTTGCGGCTGGCGTCACTTCGGCGGGTGACCCCGCTAGAGCCTGGAGTGCTGTCAGCATCTGAGGTGCCGACATGTCCGAATCCAGGTATGGACGCAGCCGTGCAGCCCCTGGGCGCGACAGCAGGTCGTTCATGGTTATCTGCTGATGTGCTGGCGCACTCAGGAGTCGGATTGCTTCAGCGACCTGCTCTTGGAGCATGTCCTTATAGTCATCTTCCGCCTCTTCGGAGTCAGAGTACGCGGGATGGCCCCGCATTTCGTCATCGGCGTCTCCCGCCTCCGAACCAGCTCGCGAAAGGTCTGGCAGCAACGGCATGCCAATCACCTGCGGTGCCAGCGCGGCGGTGAGCTCTTCCTCGGTCGCCGGGACGGTCTCAGCTTCGGAGACCTCGTCGCCGGCGGGTGGCCCCGCTGGGAGACCGAACCAAGCATTGAACGCGACCTCGTCGACCTCGTCCCAGCCGTGGAACTCGTCGAAGAGGGCCACTGCGTAGTCTTCCAGGGCTACGGTTGCTTCAGCGTAGCGGGCCATCACGTAATACGTGGAGGAGCCCGCAGCGGGAGCCGCTTCTGGATTGACGTAAAACTCGTAGTCAATGTAGTCTATGTCATCCATAAAGAATTTTGAGCCAAATGTACGGATCCCTTTCCTTTCCCCTTCGGGCATTGATCGCGCAAATGATCTGTGCTAGTATGACACTTCATAGGATTGCCAGAAGCGTCCCTAGGGTTGCCCCTCCGCCCTTTTCCCTTACCGGAGGTCCGCCTGTGACCCCGACCTTTGCCTCCGATAAGAACTTCTTCAAAGGCTATATCAGTTAAGGACGTGAGGAAAGCAGTGATACCCCTACCATGCATACGGCGTCTGCGACCCCCTTTGCCACGACCCTTTCCATATCGTTTGAAATGTCGGCGTACTGCACGTCTCACTTTTCTGACTGGTTTCTTCATAAAGCGCCTCCAACGGCGTTTTGATTTGCGATAGGCCATAAAAGCGGCTTCCGCTCTTTGTTGTTCAGAAAGGTGAGTGTCATCCGCTGGATAGTCATTACCAGCAGAGACTATGCCATTGTGCTCATCGTCAGATGAGGTATCTGTGTCAGTGCCAGATTCAAACGGTGAGGGTGGCTGAGACCCTTGAGCGGATGACTCCGCTTGGCCCCAGAGGGTTGTGCCCGAGGGCGGGCTTGCAGTGTAGGCGGCGCCTGGCGAGTAGTTCGACCAGGCGTTCGCCTCAGCTGCCTCTGCCGATGCCTGGCCAGTCTGCCCTAAAAGGGCAGTGGCCTCGTTGGGCATATCGGCTGGGTCAGCCCAGGGATTTGGCTCGCCAGGACCAGCGGGTGACCCCGCAGTCGTGGCGTAGACACCTGCATGTGAGTGGTGCCCTGTGAAGATACCCGCTATGTTGCCAGGAGAGCGCTCGGCGACATGTCCGTAGTTCCTCATCCTGGTCAGCAGCCTGTCATAGTCTGCTTGTGTTCGGGGCATCTGATGATTAAAGGGCTCCAGCAGGTGTTGGGCTCGTGACGCGCCAACGCCTAACGCTCTGAAGAGAATCAGCGTTAGGATCTGAAAGTTGGGGATGACAAATCCAACAGAGTTAGCCTCGTCACGGGCCATCTCGAACCGAGCTAACACTGAGTCGATTCGCTCGCCCCTTTCGACGCGAAAGTCGATAAGGGCAGTGCCAGAGTTGAGCTGGCGCTCATCTTCCAGATTTTCAAATTTGGTGCTCAGTAAGTACAGTATATATGTTACTGCATCCGTTGGCTGTCCATTGACAGTTACACCATAATTGATGATCTGGGAGGGGACCTGCATGGCGATACGACGAGCAAGACCTTGAAGGCCTCGTTGTAGTGCTGCAGCTTGTTGTGGTGGTGTCATATTGCCGCTCGTTACGTTTAACCATGCATGTACTTCGCGAACATATTCGCGAAAAGGCGTAGTACCGGCAGGGTCCCATGAGGGGCCAGTAGTACGCGTGTCGTCCATCCCCTGCCGCATGTATCCCACAGCACATCCCATTATTACCCACAGAATGCCGAAGATAGTTATCTTAATCCAGTGCATGTGCATTTCGGCTTCGGTGATTGGTTTAGGCTGTGGTTTGTCAGGCTCTGGCGTAGTAGCCGTGAGGCGCCTGACTGGCACGGGATGCAGGTGGCCCCGCTGCGGGTAGCCCCGCAGGGTGACCACGTTCTCGATCGAGTTGCCGATTGGCATCTGGTGGAAGTCGGGAGTGAAGTGGCGCAGTGAAGTAGGAGAGAGCGTCTCGAGTTCGCGGGTTGCCCCGCTAGCTCGATCGCGGACTGGCTCCGCTCCTCGCAGAGCCGGCGCAACATGGTATTCCACCGTAGTAGTAGTCCACCAAGTTGTGCCGTGGATTACAGGAATCAGAGCGAGAGCCAGCCACACGAGAGTGTAGCCAGCTCCGCTACCAAGTCGAAAACAAGCTGGTAAGCTTAGGTATGTGTTACGCTTTAAGCGTTGCCATATCCCAGGCTTTGGCTCATATCGCATGAGCAAGAGAGCAAGACGAAACATGGGATCTGGAGTAAAGGATAGGATGGGCATCGTCAATGGAAAAGGTATTTTCCGATCTCTGATGCAAGTCGTGCGCCTCGGTGAGGCACAATCATATATTTGGCCGGGCCCGGCTTGAGCCAGGCACGGCAGCGGTACATGCTCGATTTATACCTCGCCTTTAACCTTCTCCGTTTAAAGTTATTGCCCGACTCCTATGAAAACCCTGGCACTGTTGAGAACGGTGTGTCCCCACGTGCTAGTAATTGTTGTTGTTGTTGTTGCTGTTGTGTTGAACTCTCATTTCTGAGAAATTCGCCGGCCCAACGGGTCAGAGGCGTGCTAAAATCTCCGGTGACTCCTTAACAATATTTCTAGTTCGCGCGCGCGGGGCGGCCCCTGGGGGGCCCCGGAGGAAAAATTCCCCGGCTGATCCCCGGCGGGGCCCCGGGCGATCCGCAGGGGGGAGGCTATTTTTCGCCACCCCTCACGAGGATCGTGGCCTCCGAGGGGGCGGCTGCAATCGTCTCCCCCCCTCCCGCCCCAAGGGGCCCCCAAGAGCCCCCCAAAGGCCCCAGGGGAGCCCAATACGCCGCCAAGGAGCCCCAAGACGCTCTCAAGAAGCCCCCAAGAAGGCCCCAAATAGCGCTCCAGGGCCGGCGGGATGAGCGAAGCGATGAAATAACAAGTGGCACGCGTGCCCTGGCTCTTGCACAAAGGTGTCCGAGGCTCAGGGGGGCTGCCCTGGGAAGCCTGGGCGGGGGGGGGCAGAGGGGGGGGGGCAGGGGGACGAACGACACGACACGACACGACACGAAAATAAAAGTGGCCCAGGGGGGCTACCCTGGGAAGCGTGGACAGGGGGGGGTGGGGGGACGAACGACACGACGAACGACGAAAATAAAGGGTTCCGTGGCCCAGGGGGGCTACCCTGGGAAGCGTGGACAGGGGGGGGGGGGGCGAGGGGGACGAACGACACGACGAACGACGAAAATAAAGGGTTCCGTGGCCCAGTGGGGCTACCCTTGGGAAGCGTGGACAGGGGGGGGGGCGAGGAGGACGAACGACACGACGAACGACGAAAATAAAGGGTTCCGTGGCCCAGGCGGGCTACCCTGGGAAGCGTGGACTGGGGGGGGGGGGGGGGCGAGGGGTACCATGGAAGCGTGGACAAGGGGGGGGGGGCGAGGGGTACCATGGGAAGCGTGGAAGGGGAGGGGGCGAGGGGGACGGGGGGGGGGGCGAGGGGGACGAACGACACGACGAACGACGAAAATAAAGGGTTCCGTGGCCCAGGGGGGCTACCCTGGGAAGCGTGGACAAGGGGGACGAACGACACGACGAACGACGAAAATAAAGGGTTCCGTGGCCCAGGGGGGCTACCCTGGGAAGCGTGGACAGGGGGGGGCGAGGGGTACCTGGGAAGCGTGGACAGGGGGGGGGGCGAGGGGGAGGGGGACGAACGACACGACGAACGACGAAAATAAAGGGTTCCGTGGCCCAGGGGGGCTACCCTGGGAAGCGTGGACAGGGGGGGGGGCGAGGGGTACCCTGGGAAGCGTGGACAGGGGGGGGGGCGAGGGGGACGGGGGGGGCGAGAGGGACGAACGACACGACGAACGACGAAAATAAAGGGTTCCGTGGCCCAGGGGGGCTACCCTGGGAAGCGTGGACAGGGGGGGGGCGAGGGGGACGAACGACACGACGAACGACGAAAATAAAGGGTTCCGAGGCCCAGGGGGGCTGCCCTGGGAAGGTGGGCGGGGGGGGGGGCCGGGGGGGGGGCAGGGGGACGAACGAGACGACACGACACGAAAATAAAGGTGTCCGAGGCCAAGGGGGGGGCTGCCCTGGGAAAGCTGGGCCGGGGGGAGGGGCCGGGGGACGAACGACACGACACGACACGAAGATAAAGGTGTCCGAGGCCCAGGGGGGCTGCCCTGGGAAGCCTGGAGGGGGGGGGGGGCGGAGGAAAGGCAGGGGGACGAACGACACGACGACACGAAAATAAAGGTGTCCGAGGCCCAGGGGGGGGCTGCCCTGGGAAGCCTGGAGGGGGGGGGGGGCAGGGAGGGGGCAGGGGGACGAACGACACGACACGACACGACACGAAAATAAAGGTGTCCGAGGCCCAGGGGGGGGCTGCCCTGGGAAGCCTGGAGGAGGGGGGGGCAGGGGGACGAACGACACGACACGACACGACACGACACGAAAATAAAGATGTCCGAGCTCTAGAGCACAGCTGTACAATAGAATTAATGTTGATCCTCCCTCACCGGTACATACTGTTGTTTCTCAATCAAAGTATGCCCCTCGACGCTCGCACCTGTTTTTTTTGTTCATAGGGGAAGTCTTGATGCTCAAACTGTGCCCCTGGCCCCCCAGATTACAACAACAACAACAACAACAACAATTACTAGCACGTGGGGACACTCCGTTCTCACCAGTGCCAGGATTTTCAGAGGAGGCGGGCAATACCCCCACTTTGTGGGGGGGCCGGTTCAAGCTCTACCAAATTTCCAAACGACTCTTCGCCACCACCCATACCCAGCTTCCCGCCCTATGACGTTCGGACACTTCACTTCGTGGCATGCGGACGACCGTGGCTACTATTCAGGGCCCCGCGGCCGACGACGACGGCGTGCGCGCGCGAAGAAAAAACGAATGTGTCCCGCATGGTATTATTTGACAGGGATGATGGCCCTGGCAGGTGCGCAACCGTTGTTGCAGAAGTTAGAAAAAGTTGCTCGCAAAAGCCCGTTTGACAGAAATGTTTGAAAAGTGTTGGGTTTCCTACGAATCCGCAAGAGCGCGCGGGATGAATGTTTGACAATTTGTTTTTGAAAAACCATTGTTTTTTGATGTTTTTATGTTAAAATCGCTACGAAAACTAAGGTTTTGGAAGGATTTCGTCTTGCGCGCGCGAGTGTGCACTTCGTGTCATTTGTTTGCAAAGGATTCTTGAAGTTTGGTTATGTTAGAACAAGACATGTCATTTTATATTGTTTTTTGACAGGGAAAGCGGGCGTCAACAAAACAACCGGATCCGGACTCCCCCCTTTTGCCTGAGACTTCCTCACGAAAATGATGAAAATGTGGCTGCGGCCAAGGCGCGGCGAGGGGGGCGTGCACCAGGGGGCCCAACAATAAATATTCTTTAGAAGTAATGATATTCAACGGCTCCCGCCTAAGACTTCCTTCAAACTTACTCAGGACCCCCGCTCCCGCCTGAGACGTCCTCACAATTTACTCAGGATCGGTGCTCCCGCCTGTGACTTCCTTGGAGTTTGGTCAGGACCCCCGCTCCCATCTGAAACGTCCTCGCGATTTACTCAAGAACGGCGCTCCCGCTTGAGAGGTCCGTAAAGTTGAATCAACACTTCTTTGCAAGTTGATCAAGACCCCCGCTTCCGCCAGAGAACCCCTCACATTTTATTCAGGAATTGCGCTCTCGCCTGTGATTTCCACGCAATGTATTCGAACATCGCGCTTTCGACGCCCAAGAAACACGCTGCGCCAAGGACGCCGTCACAATTTACTTAGGAATCGCGCTCTCGCCGTACTCAGGCATCCAGCTTGAATGTCCCACCCGCCAGACCCGCCCGTCAGGGGATCGCCCGCCCGTCGTGGGCTCCCGCCCGAAACTTCCTGAAGCGGCGTTTCCGCCTAAGACTTCCTCGAACGTTCACGCTCTTACCTTCCTGCTCCTCCTCCCTTTCCCTCCTCCCTCCCCTCCCTCCTCTCTTCCCTTCTCTCTCCCTCCTCTCTTCCCTCATCCTCATGCCGCTTTGCCCTATCCCCTCTCCCTCCTCTCCCTCCTCCCTTTCCCTCCCTTTTCCTGCCTCCTCCCTCCCACATTATTGTTGTTGTCTCTCTCTCTCTCTCTCTGTCTCTCTCTCTCTCTCTATCCCCATCTCTCACTTTCTCTACCTCTCGTATCTATAATGTCTTTCTCTCTCTCTCTCTCGTTCTCTCTCTCGGTCTCTCTCTTTTCTCTCTGCCTCTAATCAACCGCCCCCCCTGTTCGCTCCTTCTCTCCTGGCGTTTTCCCTCTTCCTTCGTCCCTCCCCCTCCCTTCCTCCCACTTTCCCTCGTTGTCCCCCTCCTCTTTTTGCAGGGCCCACACCAATTCCGATGGCGGGCACATGTACGCCCCCGAAAAATTGTCCGCCCGTTCAGGTTTGCCCGCCTGTCTAAGCCCGCCGCCCCCCGCAAACAGAAAGAATCCCCCCCGAATGGGTGTGATCAAAAGCAAAAAGGGCGGGTATCGAGGGTGTGGGGAACTCGTTTTGAGTGACACACGGGCAAGTAAGAGCGAACCGTCTTAGAATGAGTGTTGTTGTCGTTGTCGTTGTCGTTGTCGTTGTCGTTGTTGTTGTTGCTGTTGCTGTTGCTGCTGTTGTTGTTGTAATCGTTGTGGTTGGTGTTGTTGTTGTTGTTGTTGGTGTGGTTGTGGTTGTGGTTGTGGTTGTGGTTGTGGTTGTGGTTGTGGTTGTGGTTGTTGTTGTTGTTGTTGTTGTTGTTGTTGTTGTTGTTATGGGTGTTGTTGCTGTTGGTAGTGTTGTTGTTGTTGTTGTTATTGTTTGCTGTTGTTGTTTGGCGTCGTCCCCCCCGCGACACGGGCCGCGACCCACCCTCGACCAAACCCGCGACCCGCCCGCGACCCACCCGCGACCCACCCGCGACCCACCCCGCGAACCACCCGCGACTCACCCGCGACCCACCCCGCGACCCGCCCGCGACCCGCCCGCGACCCACCCGCGATCCACCCGCGACCCACCCACGAACCACCCCGCGACCCTCCCACATTGCTTCAACGATAAATCGGCGCCTGCGGCGGGTTCTTGTGCAACTTGAAAAAAATAGGTGCCTGCGGCGGGCTTCTTCAGAACCGTGCAGACTGCAGACGTCCCCGCCGCCCCCTCACTCTTATCCGCGACTGCGGGGTGCTAAGTACAGGATGTACTCTATTCAATGTGATGTGCGAGCTGTTTGCGGGGCTGAAAGGCTCCAGAGACCTCAGGGGTTGAGGCGGAATAGGAAGCATAACTAGACGTAGCGCGACAAACGCTACATAGAAACAGCATGCCACCAAATGCAATCATGCTGCATCTGACACGGGGAGACCAAGAGGGAAAGCAACACATGGCGAGAGTGAGGCTGACGCTCTTAACAGGGCGTTGCTTGACGAGAGAATTGAGAATTGTGTGGGCCAGACACCTGCGACGCTGGCGAAGCCCCCAGCTTTGACCACGAGACATCTTGGATCCAAACCTTCATGCCTTTCAGAGTACCGCGGAAGACTTGATCATGGAACAAGTAGTGGCCGCCCACGATCATGTGCGGCCTGTCCAGATGTAGCGGTGCCATCCCCTTCACGTTCTCGCCCACGAGCACGCCGTCCTTGAACACCTTCATGTGCCCAGATGCCGACACCGTGCACAACAGGGTGCACTCCTGGTCGAGCACGAAGAAGTCAACCACACGCACGCTGAACGGCCTCTTCCCCCGGAAGACGGTGAAATGGAGATCGTTCGTGAGATCGACCGCCCCCGCTGTGATGCTGTCCTCGTCGGCTGTAAGGGAGAAGTCCGCCGGCCCCTCGGGGGCCCGGGGCGCTAAGTAGGGAAACGAACTCTATACACCGACGCTTGCTCCGACCCTGCGCTGAAATTCGCACAAGAACGCGGATCTTGGTGTATACGGGATCCTGGTGTATACATTTTTCGCTGCTTCCCTTGGGAAACGGGGGACAAGCATACAGCACACCACCCCGACGTCGTCCCCGACCCTCAAAAAAAAGCCCCGAGATTGAAAAACCGCTCGCCACTCCGACCAGGCGCCTCCGCCCCTCCCCAGAGCCCGAACCTCCTCCCCAGGAGGGCCCACGCGTGCCGCGAGGCAGGAGCCCGTGGCTCGGAGAGGGGCGCCCCCGCGGGCCAGGGTGGGACGGGCGCGTGGCGGCCCCGAGGAGGCCGCCACGCGCCGCCCCTCTGTGTTTCGCCACCGAGGCCGCCGGAGCGGCGCGCGAGGCCTCCCAGAGAGCTCGAGAGGCCCCACGGGGCCCCCAGAAGACTGCCCCGAGAGGGCCGTCGAGGGGGGACCCCGGAGAGCGTCACCAGAGCGAGTGCCAACGATCACAGGCCCAGGGATCCGATCCCAGACATGCAGCGTCCTGATTTCTTCAGGACGGCGTCCCTGGAAGTCCCGACCCTTCCCCCGGGGCCGGCTTTTCGTCGAGCCGTTTTTTTTCACGGTCCCGAGGCCCGGCGAGGGCCCCCTGGGGCCGAAAACGGCTAAAAACCTCCCGTCCTGATTTTTTTACGACGCGATCATGTCTGGGGAGATCCGATCCCGTGCTTGTGTTCCGTGCGGGGCCCCCGGCAGCCCAAAAGCCTCTCCCCAAGGCGGGCTGCTCCTCCCGAGAGTCGTGTTGTGACGGCCCTTGACGGCCCGGCGTGGGCCCCCAGCGGCCCCAGACGGCGAAAAGCCTGTCTTGATTTGTCCAATACCTTGGAGGTCCTCCTGCTCCTCCTCCTCCTCCTCCTCCTCCTCCTCGTCGGAGGTGTGAGAATCTGTCCAACCCAGACCGCCTTGAGGAGGGCCGCAAGATGGCGGATCGCGAGTGAGAGGGCTCGTGGGGCGGGTCGCGCCAGACGCGGCTCCCAGGCGGGACGCAGGGCGGATGGGGCGGGGGGCGGCGGCGACGAGAACAACAGCACGAGCATGAGTCCGTGCTGCGGAAATCCATTCCCACGTCTAGAACAACAAAACGGCATATTACTAGTGGAAACAATTGGTTTTCAAAATGTTTGGTCTTTAGACGCTCTGCGTGGCGACGCCCCCGTCGCCACGCGTGCCCTCTGCGTGCCTGCGGGGGCGCCGCCACGTAGAAGTACTGGAGACCGAGCATTTGGGGCGTCGCTACGCACGCCCTCTGCGTGGCTGCGACCATTTGTTTAAACCCTAATACCAATTAAATTCACTACTAAAGTACACACAATGTCTGGGATGTCCTCGCGGAGCCCACAAAACTTCAGTTTATGCAGTTGTCTGTTCTTCGAACGTCAGCCACGCACCCAAAGACAATGTACGACCGCTCGGCCCCCTCATGCTGCTGCCCGAATGAAGGCCAGGTGACATCGCGCACGTGCTTGTCGGCAAATCGGGTCGAACCACCGTCGTTTTGCGAAACTGCGTATCCTCGAAGAGTTCCGCCGGGCGCCCTGCAGGTGGCCCGCGGGGTCGTGCGGGCCTGGGCAGGGCCTGCGACTTCAGGCCGGGGCAGATGGCCATCGGGCGCCGTCACCGGGGACAGGAAGCGTCTGCTGAGACTGCGCGCAGTGAAGTCCAGAGGCACCATTCCAAAGCAGACGGGACGCTCAGACGGGCCTGACCAGGCCAGACAAGACAAGCCCGGATAATTAGTAAAAAACAAAGCCAGACCGAACAGACCAAACAGACCAGGCATACCGAACACACCAAAGAGAACGAACATAACAGGCTATACAGATGGACCAAATAGACCTAACAAGCAAGCAAGAGAGATATACGAGACAAACCTCAACCGAGACTGACGGGACTGACAAGACAGACAGACCGGGCCCACGGACCACACAGAACAGGATCATCTGAAAGATGGGCTGATCAGCCCCACCGGACGAACAAGAGACCCACAGCAAATCAAGCTTGACATGACAAAACATTGTTTTACGTCGCAGCGCGGCAGGACACGCGTGCTCAAGCAAGCCCCGTGACGGCATTGCGAATTTCCCGGATGCAACCGGGAAAAAGGGGGGGGCAGAGGGAGAAGCCGCGGGGGGGGGAACTAGAGCGCTCACGCGACAGGGACCGAACCGAAGCTGCCGCGACATCACAAAACATGAAATGGCAAGGTCGGCAGGACAGGCAATGCAATCCCCTAAAAGACAAGATGAGATCGCAACATTTTCAACACATTACAACGCAAGAGTCCCTCTGGCAGTTCTTTTAACGCGAAGCGCATGTATCGAATACGCGGCTCCAGTGTTCCATGCCATGCATCACCAAGGTGCACATGAAGGAGAACTCCCCACCCAATCGGACATTGAACCGCGGCAACAAACTGATGGGCACATCTCCTGTGAAAGGAGCCGGGTGCTCGACGATTGGCTTCACAAACGAGAAGGCCGGCACAAGGAAGCTTTTGGCCAACAACTCCTTTGAACAGTCCGCGTCCACTGACGCCACCGAAGTCGGAGCCTGCGGTCCATCGCAAGCATCGGCCGTGTCACACGTCGTGGTTTCGACTTGTGTGGTTTCCGATTCAGAGCGTGATTTCATTGAGTGTGATCAGTGTGGTTCCCGATCACGGCATTGCATTGTTACGTAAAGATTACCTTTACCGTGGCAATCTCATCTCTTGGGCCAAAAAATGGCTGCGGAGGCCAAGACGATGTGTCAGCAATGAAAAAAGCCGTCCTGCTGACTGCTGGGGCTCCCACGCTTGTATTGGTTGACCTCACGGTGAGGAGCACCGGCTCAGGAGGGGCGGCCGATAGATCGGCGATAGGCCCCCGATCGCAAATCTGAACGCTCCTGGGCGGGGCGGGCTATCGGGCCCCAGTCGGCGATCCATGAGCGCTTGGGGGTCGATGCTTACGTTGTTCCCATCGTACTTAAGGACCACATCCCAGAAATTGTTTCGAGCACCCAGAAGAGTACAGTATCGAAACAGTGTCGAACGAGTATCGCCTCCCAGGGCCCGACACGTGAAAGCCCTGCAGGTTCGGTACTTTCCTGGTGCTCGAAATTCTTTCTGGTGGTCAAGGCTAAATCAGGCTGGAACATCACAAGTTAAGGCCTCCCCCCCTGAGCCTATCCCCACCCAGCGATGCCCCTGACCCTTCGGGTCGGCGTGTCGAGCCGAAGCGTGGTGGGCAAGAGCCGGCGTATCGACACGTTCAGCAAACGTTCCTGACCGAGCGCTGCTTCTGCTTGGCGGTGCGCACGAGGGGGTGGAGGGAGGTGGGGAGGGCTTCTTGAAGGAGGCTGCTTCTTAGAAGGCGCCGGCCTTACATCTATAGCTAAGGCCCGCGCCTTCGAAGAAGCAGGGGTGCTTCTGAGAAGCCCTCCCCCCTCCCCCCACCCCCCTCTGCGCGTGGCTGATCTTCGTCTTCTTCGACCACTTGGGTGAGCCGGACTCCTGACCCCTGCAGAAGGCCCGCAGAAGGCCCCCAGTCCAGCTCGATGCTCCCCTCCGCCGGCCGGAGCCCCGTCGGTCCTGTGGTACCAACTCGGGTTTCCTGCAGCCGCTCGGGAGGATCCGAGAACTCCTGGAAGGAAGGATCTCGGCGAGGCGCAGCTGCTGGAACCCACCCCGAGGCCGGAAAACCGCCGAGAACCGACGAGAGCGTCCGAAAATCTCGGCCTGACCCGACCGTCCGACCTCCCGTGATTATCCTGGGCGCTCCTGGAGAGCGCCCAACGCGCGCGGCGGCCGCCGCCCGACGCCCAGAAAGCCGAAGGCGGGGGCGTGGGCGTTGCTTGAAGGGGGGGCGATAGATGAGGGGGGGAGACACGTGCTCCCTTCGTGCCCCGTTTGGTCCCCAGGGAGGGCCTGTAGGGCGCAAGAGGTGAGACTTTCGTCACACGTCCCCACTTTCAGGGAGACGTTAGACTCGGGTCCGGAGGGCTCGGGTTGGCCTGACAGGGCCGTCCGGAAAACGACGAGACCCGATCCGAGGTCTGACGCGGGCTCCCGCTGCAACACATCCCACGACAGTGGGACCGCCGAACTCCAAGAACGGCCCTCGGAGCAGGGCGGCTTGAGACACTGGGAGTTCACAGTCGCTCCCCAGACCCCTCCCGGGGTCCGAGCGCACCCGTTTTCCGCGCTGCGTCCAGCCGTGGCGACGAGGGGGGCCCCCGAAGGCCAACTACCAATGTCTCCAACGGCCCTCCTCTGAGGCTCGTCACAACGCGTCGGCCAACCCCGAGTCCCGGCGAGCTCGATCCCGACGTTTCTCCCCCACTCCTCGCCCCCCCCCCGCTGCGCCACGCCCCCATGGGGGCCACCGCCTCGCCCTCCTCCACGTTCGGCGGGCCGCCGCCCCCCGCCGGCGACGGCGGCGGGGCCAGCGGCGCGGGCTGGGACGAGGGCACCGGCATGTCCTCGAGGGCCTCGCGCCGTCGTCATCAGCGCCGTCATCGATGTCGTCGCCCTCGACATCACATCGCCGCCATTATCACCATTACCATCGCCAACGCCATCGCCGTCGCCATCGCCATCGTCACCAACCTCAGCCTCACCACCACCACCAGCACCACGACCATCACCATTACCATCACCATCACCATCACCATCACCATCACCATCACCATCACCATCACCATCACCATCATCATCATCATCATCATCATCATCATCATCATCATCATCATCATCATCATCATCATCATCATCAGCATCAGCATCAGCATCAGCATCAGCATCAGCATCAGCATCAGCATCAGCATCATCATCAGCCATCGGCCACGAGCCCATCACGGAGCCCCACCTGAGGCCCCAGCGGCGACGTTCCCATGCGTCCGCGCAAAAAACAAAAATTTGCACACCCTTCACACATTTTGGATACACCCCTCACACGCTTCGTGGCCCCATAGGGAGCTCCACTTAACGCTACAGTGGCGACGTTCCCATGCGTCCGCGCCACCCATTTCGGCGCACCCCATCACACGGGTCGTGGCCCCATAGGGAACTCCACCTAAGGCCCCAATGGCGACGTTCCCATGCGTCCGCGCCGAAAATTTCGGCACACCCCTCACACGGTTCGTGGTCCCATAGGGAACCCCACCGAAAGGCCCCAGCGGCGAAGTACCCATGCGCCCGCGCCACGCATTTTTGGTACACTTCTTACACGTTTCGTGGCCCTATAGGGAGCCCCACCGAAGGCCCCAGCGGCGACGTTCCCATGCGTCCGCGCCACGCATTTTTGGCATACCCCTCACACGCTTCGTGGCCCTATAGGGAGTTCCACCTAAGGCCACAGCGGCGACGTTCCCACGCGCCACCCATTTCGGCGCACCCCTCTTACTGTTCGTGCCCCCTACGGGGAGCTCCAGGGAAAGCCCCGGTGGGCACGGCCACATGCGTCTGCCACAACCCATTTCGGCTGGCCCCATGAAGAGCTCCACCTACGCCCCCAATGGCGATGTTCGCGTGCGTCCGACCGACCCATGTCGGCACACCCCTCACACGTCTCGCATCCTCATAGGGAGCTCCACCGAAGGCCCCAACGGCGACGTTCGCATGCGCCCCCACCCGCCCATTTCGTTCGGCACACCCCTCACACGCTTCGTGGCCCATGGGGAGTTCCACCGAAAGTTCGCGTGCGTCCCACCCATTCGTTCCCCCCTGCCTGCACTGCCCCGCGCCTCGTTCTTCCTGCGGCGCGCTGCCTACGAGAGCAGGGGGTATACTGCGTGCGCTATTCGGGGTTTGCGTGCCCTCCTCCTTCATATCATCTCCCCCGCGGTTCTCGCAGCTGCATCGGGTCTTTCGTCAGGCTAATTTTTCGCGTTCTCAAACTCGTCGCTGTAGATCTTGAGTTTTTCGTAGCGTGTACTGCCGTCTTCGCTCCCGCTCTCCCGTTCCTGCCGCCTCCCGTTCCTCCCGATCCGCGCGCTGAGCCGAAAGACGCAGAACAACAATTACTCACCGCGTGAAGCTCCCCCATGTGTGCATCTCATGTTTAATGTCATGCCATCGGGAGCGTATGTTCATGGGCGCTTGACTCTAATAGCGCGTCCAAGTGGGCGACAGGGCCGACGAAGACGAGTGAATCCTGATGCGAGTGAGTGAGTATGAGTCACAGTGAGCTTTGACTATGATTGAATATGAGCCTCCCATTCATTCCCCCTCCTCAAACTGGCCGCGAACGGGCCCGTGAAAACACCCCTGGCGGCTCCCCTTAGGGGTGCTGAAACCAGCGCCCCGCCTGAGACATCCTCAGAATCTGATCTGAAAACCAAGGATGTTGGACATGAAAACGAGCAAACCGCAAACCGCCTGAGACGTCCCCACAAACTGGCCGCGAACAGGCCCGTGTCCTACCCCCTGGCGGCTCACCCTTAGGGGTGCTGAAACCAGCGCCCCGCCTGAGACATCCTCACAAACTGGTCTAAACGCAAACGAATCTGTCCACCAAAACAGCCAAACCGCCTGAGACATCCCCACAAACTGGCCGCGAACGGGCCCGTGAAAACACCCCTGGCGGCTCCCCTCAGGGGTGCTGAAACCAGCGCCCCGCCTGAGACATCCTCAGAATCTGCTCTGAAAACCAAGGATGTTGGGCATGAAAACGAGCAAACCGCAAACCGCCTGAGACGTCCCCACAAACTGGCCGCGAACGGGCCCGTGTCCTACCCCCTGGCGGCTCACCCTTAGGGGTGCTGAAACCAGCGCCCCGCCTGAGACATCCTCAAAATCTGCTCTGAAAGCCAAGGATGTTGGGCATGACGCCAGGAAACCGCCTGAGACATCCCCACAAACTGGCCGCAAACGAGCCCGTGAAAACACCCCTTGCGGCTCCCCCCATAAGGGTGCTGAAACCAGCGCCCCGCCTGACCCATCCTCAAAATCTGCTCTGCAAGCCAAGGGTGTTGGGCATGAAAACGGACAAACCGCTTGAGACTTCCCCACAAACTGGCTGCAAGCGGGCCGTTGAAAACACCCTTGGCGGCGCCCCTTGGGGGTGCTGAAACCGGCGCCCCGCCGGAGACATCCGCAAAATCTGCTCTGAAAACCAAGGATGTTGGGCATGAAAACGAGCAAACCGCCTGAGACACCCCAACAAACTGGCAGCGAACGGGCCCTTGAAAACACCACTGGCGGCTCCCCTTGGGGATGCTGAAACCAACGCCCCGCCTGAGACATCCTCACAATCTGATCTGAACGCCAAGGATATTCGGCATGAGAACGAGCAGACCGCCTGAGACATCCCCACAAACTGGCCGCGAACGGGCTCGTGAAAACACCGCTGGCGGCTCCCCCTAGGGGTGCTGAAACCAGCGCCCCGCCTGAGACATCCTCGCAAACTGCTTTAAACGCAGACGAGTCTGCCCACCAAAACCGCCAAACCGCTTGAGACATCCCCACCAGCTGGCCGCGAACGGGCCCGTGAAAACACCCCTGGCGGCTCCCCTTAGGGATGCTGAAACCAGCGCCCCGCCTGAGACATCCCCACAAACTGATCGAAACGCAAACGAATCTGCCCACCAAAACAGCCAAACCGCCTGAGACATCCCCACAAACTGGCCGCGAACGGGCCCGTGAAAACACC